TAGGTCATCGCCGATGTGTTTTTCAGTCAGAACTCATTTCACACAGCGTGATTGTGAATCGCCGACAGCTCCAGATATTTAACATTTGTCTGTGATTTCGCAAATCTTGTCGGCGAGTGATAAATCGGGCTAAAATAGTGCAGTGTGAACTCGGCATAAGGTTTGTCCAAGAAGTTGCTAGATTTGTCGCTAGTCGCTTTTTTGGAAAAAAAAAGTCGCCAAGGGCTCTGAAAAGTCGCTAAATCTAGCGACAAAGTTGGCAACACTGGACAGGGCATCACAATATGGTAAGGGGCGTAACATTTCCGTCACACGCTTGAGGTATTCAGCCAATCACAATGCACTGGATAGCTGGCCAATCAGAGCACACCTCGCTTTTCAGACCAATGAGCTTTGTAAAAATTTACGCGTTTCAGAAAGGCGGGGCATAGAGGAGAAACAATAATGTACAGTATGTGGAAAATAATGTGTTTTTTTAACCTTAAACCGCATAAACATTTCATTACACCAAATAATATTCTTTTTAGCAACATCACATGACCCCTTTAATGTATGATTTCAGATGGCTGGAATATAGCACGAGTCATATAGACTACTTTGATGGTAAATGATGACAAAATGTACATTTTTAGGTGAACAAGTTCAACTCTTGAAAGGGACTGCTCCATTAGTCTAGTAGCAGCCTGTATATTTTAGCTCCCTGTGTTCTGGACAGCTCCTTATCCCCCTGCAAGGGGCTTAATCAATAAATCGTTGGCTGATATTACAGGATAGCATGAAAAATAGATATGCAGAGAAGAGGAAAGTCTAAGGGGGAGGAGAAGGGTATCACACATGTATCTTTCCTTATAGAAACACTCTCTCACATGCAGAATTCTCCTCTTTAACGGTGTTTATTTATAGCCTCTATCTACAAACACATCTCGGATGTGACACTCACAGCATCTGCATTCAGAGCACTCACACTGACCCAGATGCAGCATGAGTGCTCGCTGCCAGCAAAATCAAAGCCCGCACAATACAACCGCAGTCTAATCTATTAGATAGGAGCTAGCAATACTACAGAACCAACAAGGTTGCCTTTCCATAATCTATTCTGCGGCATCTATTACATAAAAATAAGACAAAATGGGATGAAAAAGACAACTTGTCTTTTGCAAGATGGTTGAGATAAGGACAGCTCATTATCAGAGCTCAGCTGTGTGTGTCTCTTCGATAACATTGAAAGGTTTAGCTGAAGAGCTCCTCTTCATTAGTATATGTGTGTGGTGCAGTGCTGCAGGCTCTGGAGAGGATGTAAAATGAGAGAAAATCCTGATGTTTTCTATTATTTATAAACATTTCCCACATAATGTGCGTGTGCGTGTCCATGAATCTGGCCGGTTTTAACGCAGTACTCTCAGCAGCCTTCCCCCCAGTGAGTCCCATAGTGACGTGACAGGTATACGCAATTTCTGCACTACCACCAAACAGTTTTGCTAAAACAACTGTTTCTAAATAGGTTTTCTAAACTCTTCCTCCATCTGTCATTGGTCAAAAAACTGGGGCCCAAACTCACATCACTATTTAAAGGGACAGTTCACCCCAAAATTCTGTCATTAATTACTCACCCTCATGTCGTTCCAAACCTGTAAGACCTTCGTTCTAATCAAAACTGGCACATGCAGTATTCACCGTTGTCAGCACAATGTCTTCCAGGATTTACAATGATTATGGTCTGATACTCCCGAAAGATGCAGTTTTCTGGTCTCAATTCATCAGGGATGATGTCAGCGCTACTGATCTGAGATCAGATCTATTGCTTGTTCTGTGGAGTATGTTGCAATAGAAGGGTACTACAACTCATGGGCTGTCACAAGCTAGATAGACAAGTGTTTCTCAGCCCTGTTCCTGGGGGCACATTAATAGTACACATTTTTGAACACTTCCTAATAAAGCACACCTGATTCATCACATTACTAGAGCCTCCAAGACATGAGATGGGTGGTTCAGATAAGTGAGACGTATTGAATTGCTTTCTTTACACACTTCTTTTAAGTGTACAGACATGGGGCCAAAATTTGAAGCAATTTCATACTAAACAATTTGTGAGTATTACCAAATGACAGGAATATTTCACCCAAAACTGAATATTCCGTCATTAATTGCTCACCCTCATGTCGTTCCAAACCTGTAAGACCTTCGTTCATCTTCAGAACACAAATTAAGGTATTTATTTTTGATAAAATCCGAGAGCTTTCTGACCCTGCATAGACAGCAATGTAACTGACATGTTCAAGGCTCAGCAACGTAGTAAGGACATTGTTGAATCAAGTCATTATTTTTGTTTTCTTCGCGTACAAAAAGTATTCTCGTAGCGTCATAAAATTAAGGTTGAACCACTGATGTCACATGGACTATTTTAACGATGTCCTTACTACCTTTCTGTACCTTGAACGTGTCAGTTGCGTTGCTGTCTATGCAGGGTCAGAAAGCTCTCGGATTGCATCAAAAATATCTTAATTTGTGTTCCGAAGATGAAAAAAGGTCTTTACAGATTTGGAACGTACGGTGACCGGGAGCTGACATGTTCAGTTCACTTAGTTTTGTCGTGGCCACGACATAATAACTTGTGGGAACGTGATAATATGTCGTGCCCGCAAGATATTAATTCGTGGGAACGTCATATTAACTCACCGGAATGTGATATGTCGTGGCCACAAGATAATTTTGTCAAGGTAACGACATCCTTATGTCCTGGCCACGCATTGCTATGTTGAGGGAATGACATCCATTTCTCGTGGCCACGAGTTTAATGCGTAAACAAACCTGCGTGACCATAGCAACCCGGGATTATCAGAGATGGATTCATTCATATTTTATTTTGAATTAAGAAATTATTATTATTATTATGAATTATGAAATTAACCATAGGCCTTGGCTACTGGACTGTAATACATGCGATAGTCAGTATTCAAATGAAGTTTATCATGAATAAATGTTACATAAAGTGCATAATATAAAATAGGCCTACAAGAAAACATTTTTATCCATCCCAGTCTTGTAAGTCCATTAACTGATCGTCTTTTTCCCATTATATTTTGTATATTATTATTAGCCTATTATTATTGGTTATATTTTTATATTAGTTTATATTCGTTTTCCCCCTTCATTTCGATCTCTTTACTTAACGTTCTGAATACTTTAGAAAATAATAGCCTACTGTAAATGCTCCACATGCCAATAAAGCTTTGATTTTGCTGACGGGAATTTTTACTGGAATGCAGTTTAAATTGAACATATATTTCATTTTATTTCGGCTAATTAATAGACCATAATTATAAATAATATAGTGTTTCGTTGAGGAATTAATCATTCACGTAGTTTCATTTGTAAATGAAAACACAACACGCTCATTTATCATCACACACGGGCATAAATACAATCATAAACTCAAAACATTATTGGCATAATTATCAGGCATTTGCAGTATTATGGTAGGCTAGCAAATGCTAGTATAATTATACAAAACGTTAACTAGGTAAAGCAATACACAAATTGAAAGGGGAAATAAGCATATATAACAATACATATAAAAATATAGCCCTAATAAGTTAATGTAATAATAATAATAATAAACAAATATTAAATTAAATGTTTAATGTTAATAAAAATGTTTTATCTATCTCCGATAATCCCGGGTTGCTATGGTCACGCAGGTTTTTTTACGCACATGTTGTTCCCTCAACATAAGAAGTCGTGGCCACGAGAAATGGATGTCGTTCCCTCAACATAGCATCGACTTAAGGATGTCATTACCTCGACAAAATGATCTCGTGGCCACAACATATCACGTTCCCACAAGTTATTATGTCGTGGCCACGACAAAACAAAGTGAACCGAACATGTCACCTCCCGGTCACCGTAGGAACGACACGAGGTTGAGTAATTAATGACAGATTATTCATTTTTGGGTGAACTATCCCTTTAAGGTAACATGAGATGAATTTCAATTATGTTTTGAAATGCTAAAAAAACAGAGAGGTGAAATTAACAAGGAGTGCGCAATCAAACTTTTCTCTGTGAATGAATGCAGAAATGGCCTGGCTAATTGTGTGCATTTCTCATACACATTATATGGTTTAATTATAATCACAAAATGCATAATTTACATAAATGAAAATGAAGAATAACAAACTGGAGTCTCCATTTCTCCCCATAAATGTTCTAACACATCAGTTTTCAATGCGCAGCTGTTGTGCCATTCGGTCCAATTCATTCATTACTAGACAGAGCCAGCCAGCCAGAGGCGAGCGAGGACAGACCAGCTTGAGAAAATAAGACAGAGCGATGGCCATTAAGGATAGAATCAGATGATAGGGCTGTGAAAAGAAATGAGATATGAGAAGGAGCGAGTAAGAAGAGGAAAAGAGGCAAGTGAAGGAAAGATAGAAAGGTAGAATTTACCATGGACTGGGGTTAATTGAAGCCTGGGGCTCTGGACCCAGTCATGAATTACTAATGACTGTTTACACAGCTTGCTGTCAGCCTGTCCATATTAATCACAGGCACAGCATCAGCTGGAACCCATGCTATGCTGAACAGCACACCTGCAGCAAAACACTATTTATGAATATGAACTATAAAAAGCTTCATATAATTAAGTTAAAATAAAACCACAAACTACGCTTCCAGGACGTCCTGGGCCATGATTATTATTTTATATAATGGTAATGAAGGGGCACTTATACGTGTATTAAGATTTTATATGAAACTGATGAGTTGCACAATGCAAATGGTGATTAAGGATGTTTGTATAATGATGAATGAGCAATTCACTTCTTAATCTTGCAGAAACAGAATTTGTTATGTCATATTTTGTGACGGCACATGATGGTGTTAGTGCCATCTAGTGGAAATTATTGGTTAGGTTTATCCCAGCTTGGCAGTATTTCAGAAAATCAGAAACAAAAGGTCTATTTAATGTGTATTTATCAACTGTGACAGCGGTCAGTAGTTGATAAAGATTTCTGCTGCATTTGAAAATTACTCTATGGATTTAAGCTGCGATTTTGCTTAAGTTTGATAGATTTTTCTCCTTTTTTTCCTCAACAGAAAGTGGAAATGCATAGACGCCAGATACACTGAGGTGAGTGAGTGTTGGTCAGTATGAGTGAGTCTTTACTTAAAAAATACCATGAAATAGTTTGATGCAATATTTTGCCTTTTTTGACGTATTTACTACTGAAACGGAGTTAGGCTCAGACATACTCAATATTCAATATAGATGCACTACTGTTCAAAAGGTTAGGGTTTATATGATTATTTAAAAATGTTTTTGATCTCGAAAAGATCCATTTAGGTTTGTTCCAAAACCGAAATTACACACAGTGTGACTTCAAATGTAAATTTTTAATGGCTTTTAAATATGTATATGAAATATATGAAAAACCTGCACGAGTTCCTTTCTTCTGTGAAAGGAAAAAAACACATTTTGTCCATAGAATGAAAGTCAGTTGGTCCAATGTTTTTTTTTTAAGACCTCGCTGACAACAAAATTCTTCAAAATGCCTTATTTTGTGTAGAAATAAAGTCATGTTAGGAATGACACAAGGTTGAGTAAATTAGACTTTTCAGTTTAGAGTGAATTTTTTAAATGATCTCAAGTTTAGCTTCCATGTGTAAATTTCTCAAGTGCAATGCTGTGAATTTATAATAAAACATCGCTTTAATCTGTTTCCAGGTGTTTCTGTCTTGTTCAAGGAAAATCATTATATGAAATCACAATCCAGCTTTACCCATCATCCTGAGGGCAGGAAGCCTGACTGCAGCAGTTTGAAAAAACGTTAACGCGAAGGATGCAAACGGGGTGAATGGAATTGGGAACTCACTGCTTTTCTGCCCATATCCCTTCTTTGCACTTCACTCCCTGGAATTGCTTCTCAACAAATCCCTACCCTAGTTTGATTTACCGTGTTCTGTGCTACTAACATGATAGGGCAGCTAATGCACCGTTTAGAAGTAACTTTGACTTGGATTAATAATAATAATAATAAAAAAAAAAGTCTTTATTTATTTTACATTGTGTCCTCTTTTAAAGGCCTGCATTACAATAATGTTAATATTTTGGGATTTATGAATTACAGTAAAACTGTACTGTTTTATTTGACTGGATTCTCCAATATAGAAGAAAACATTTACAGGCTTAAATCGTGGGATGTGCACTCCGGCATAGAGCTGCACCACAGAGACATTCCCGGCCTGTTATTATTTATCCATCAACACCACCCCTGGACGGAAAAAAAAAAAAACACTGAATCCTGACCACTTAAAAGAACCAATTTACAGGCAAGTGATCATTTATCGGGTTTCAAAATGTACAGTTATTTCACCACAACACTATCCAACATTGTTTAAAAGGGGTATGTAAACAGAAGTTGAGAGTTCACTGTTAATATATTTTAAAAATAAGTGTCAAAATTAGGGGCAGACATCTCTGCCATTAGTAATTGTGCACAAGCCAAGTATATTCAGAAGTAGGAGAGTGTTTTAAGTATTATGTATTGAGTGTATATGCTGAATTTCTGTATGTCTCTAATTCGATATTTACTTCTCGGCAGTGTTAGTGCTGTATAGTTATGTGTGCCATAATTATGATGTTCTCAGCTGGTACCGTTTTGTACTCTTGGTATAATCATTGTGTCCCACCAAGATAAATGAACAGTCTAGGATGAAAATGCCATGGGAAAACCTGGAGAATGTGGTTCAAAAAGCAAAAGCCCACAGGAAATGACCTCACTGTGTACCTAGTGGCACTCCCTCCCTTCTTAGACAGCTGAAGAGTTTGGACAATGCTGGATGAAGTTCTGAAGGGAAAGAAAAAAAAATGGTTTGCTTTATTTATTGGGTGTCTGTCTTGTCAGATGATGTTGTATGTAGAAAATGCTGTAAATACACCATTAAAATGTATTAGTTATTAAAGTTCATTAAATTCACCCACATTAATGAATAAAGATTTTACCTCTACAGACTACAATCAAGATATTTCATTCTGAGCGTTGCTGTAAATAACAAACAGTAATATTTATCTTATTTTCTTCCCACAGGCCAGCGGTGTCCAATCTTGCTCCTGGAGGGCCAATGTCCTGTAGAGTTTAGCGCCAATACTAATTAAACACCCCTGAACCAACCGATCAAGTTCTTCTGGATTGCTAGAAACTTCCAGGCAAGTGTGTTTTTGGCTGGTTGTAACCAAAATCTGCCGTCCAGGAGCAGGACTGGATACCCCAGACCTGCACTAGGTAATACTGACCTGACATCTGCTCAGTCTTCAACATTGCAAAAGTTGCGCAGTGTTATTGAGAAACGTACAAACATTGGCGGTTATAGCTAACTGTATCTATGCAGCTCTTATGCTCATCTTTCTTCATAACCTTTCTACCTTCGTTCCAGTTGATTATAACCTCTGGCTTGATGTTGATTGGTCATGTAATCTCGCTGCCTTCATTCCGATTGGGCTTCTCAAGTCTGCTTTCATTCTGATTGGTCATAAAACCTCTTTTCCTTCGTTCTGTTCGATCTAAGCAAAAACAGTTTCTTTCAAGAATCTATCAGGTATTAATGACAAAAAACGACTAGGTTTATATTTTCAATGACAACCTTAAGATAGGTCTCAGCAACAGCAGTCTCTTCAAACCTTCATTGCAGCACCTCTTCACACAGTGACCTTCACAGTGAAAGAAAAATTCACATTAGGAACATGTAAACATCAAAAACAGCCCCCTTTCCCGTCTTAGTAAAACACACAAGACATTTGGTTGGTATAAAACTGTCATTACAGTGATTTATTATAATGAACCATGAAAATAGCCAACCAGTGCTGTGTCTGTGAGCCTCTGTCCATCACACACACATACACTCACACACAAACAGTAAAAAAAAAACAAAAAAAAACAACAGAGAGGAAGAAATAAAAATAGTGCTACAGTCACAGAAACATTCAGCGTTTTTGTCAAGAGCGCTTGTATTTACAACCATATTCCAAAATGGGGATGGGAGCGAATTATACAAGCATAGAAAAGAAAAGAAGCCAATATTTACAACTGTTTCTGGAGAAAGCTGGAGTAACCACCTATACATTAAATTACACTTTCTACAAATAACCATTGATATTCAAAAATAAACCGCTTACCCCCTACAGGAAGGACCTCTCTTTCTAAAGCTGCCACAGAGAACAGCACGCATCTGTCTGTGCCGTATTTGCCTTCCGTTTCTCATGCGCACTTCAAATATGCGCATGGATACGGGCGGCACGCAAGCATACATGCTCCCTTCCGGTTAAAAACAGACACTCATGCACACAGACTCGCTCATTCACACAAGTGCAGTCTCCTGGGGCAGTGAAGCGGCCTATCAGAAAGGTCTCTGAATTTCTGCAGCGGTGCACAGATATTTTTGTTACATGGAGGAATAAAAAAAATAATAATTCTGTATTTTTTTTCTCTATACAAAACCTTTTTGCTATATAATGAGCCACTAGATAAAACAAATAACTGATGAATGAAAAACAGTGAGAAACGGGAAGAGCAGGGAACGGTAAGGAGGAAACTGGAATGTCCCATTGCATTGCACTGCACTGGGAGTACAGAGGAAGGATTCAACGGGAAGAGACCGGAAAGGGTGATTAAAATGAATAAAAACATTAAAAATAAAAAAAAGACGTCTGGAAAAGACAGGATGGCAGTACAAGATTATGGGAAGGAGAGGGGTGTGGGGGATTCTGGGTAAGTGATGAGCACCAGGGTTCATTAACCATCATCTTTTACACGAAGTCTACTTTTACAGTTCTCGTTTTTATTTTTAAAATGTACCCTTTTCCCCCCACCGGTTTTCATTAGCCTTTGTGAAAAGGTACATAGAAAATATTTACAGTGGTGCTGTGTTGCCTATGTTACACGATGTAGCCCCCCACCCCCCTCTGAGTGAGTTTGTCTAGGGGGCGGGGTTAAGTGGGTGTGGTCAGTGCCATCCTGTGCCCAAGTAGCCTGTGCTGTGAAAGGGGGCGGACGAAGGGGTGGGTCCTCGGTTACCACCGGCGATCTGTGAGATGCTCGGATTGGGCGGGGTCTGTGAAGGAGGTATTTGTTGGGGAGGTGGTGGTGGAGGCGGGGGTAATACAGTTTGTTGATAAGTGGAAGGGGTTACTGAGGGGTTGGCTGGTGCAGACTGGTGAAGTAGAGTGGTTTGAAAGCCACCGATGTTCTGGAACGGGTGCAGTGCGGTACTGGAGGGAGCGGGGGGAGGGGGCGGAAGGGGTGGGTGTGGTCCTTGTTTGATTGACAGGAGAGTGCCGCTATTGGCCGGAGGCTGCTGGGAACTCTGTCCCTGAGGAGGTGGAGGAGGAGGTGGGGGCGGGGCAGAGCTCAGCAGAATTTGATGCTGCTGCATCGAAGGAGGTTGCAGATTAACATGCAGCAAGGTGGGACCAGGTTGTGGGTGGAGAGGGGGAGGAGGGGGCGGCGGGGGAGGGGGAGCACTGCTTTGGTAATGCAGGAGGAGGAGGAGGCGGCGGCGGGGGAGGGGCAGCACTGCTTTGGTAATGCAATGCATGATGGTTCTGTAGGAGTGGTTGGGAACCGGGAGGAAAGGGTGACGCCACTGTAGGCTTGAACGCAGGAAACGGCGCAGGAGCAGTGGTAGGCTGAGCGGGGAAGTAGGAAGCTGAAGTGGGTGGAGCTGGGGGTGGAGGGGGTGGTGGCGGTGGGGCATTTTGGGGGTTGTACTGAGGGAAAGTGGCCGGGCCAGACGTAGCCTGGGGTTGAGGCTGGTTCTGAGGCTGAGCTGTCAGGAAGGCTCGCTGGCCGCGGTAAGGTGAAGCTTGGGGTTGCGCTTTGGGAGAGTGCATGAGCGAAGGTCCAGCGTAGTGACTCTGCGAGGCACCGGAGGGCCCGCAGTGGAGCTTGCTGGGCGTCAGTGCGGCTGGTTTGGCGCTCGAAGTCTTGGTGCTGGACTGCTGGACGGACAGTGCCTGAGGCTGAGAAGGACCACGAGACTGTGCTTCACCATCTTCCTCCTTGGATGGTCGAGAGACAGTCTGGGGTGCTGGAGAACAAGGCTGTAAATGGAAAGAAAAATGGTTTATGATAGCATGAACTTGCTTGGTTGAGAAATCATGTTGCCAAGAAAAAATATTACATTGAGGGAAGGTTCTCTTACTGCATGCGTCAAGGGGCTCTTGCAGCTCTTTGGAGAAGGACATTCCTTCACCTGGGAGTCGCCACCCTCTGACTCTCCACTGTCTGAAAACGAGACAAAGCAGGTATTTTAATATTAAGATTAGAAGATCAATGTTCCCACACATTTTTATCAATGCATTTCCTTGATTTCTCCAGTTGTTTGGGCTAACCTTCTTACAAAGATTAGCTCCAACCTACTGCTCCAGCACACCTGCCTGATTACCTTGAATACCCATTTCATTGTTTAATTTGGGTCTGAGCTAAACTCTGCAGTAAAGTGGTCCTTTAGGAGCAGAATTGGACACCTCTGGGATTTATTATTGGATGAACCTTTTAAAAAAGACTTCCATTTGTATGTCAGGTATCAATTCATGGGTTTTAACAATTGTCACAAAAAACAAACAAACATGGAAATCACAATTCAAAATTCCCTTATGTTTCCAGGGTTGTTTTTACCTGCATCCTTGCGATGGTCACTCAACAACAAGGCCCTGTGGTAGCTTCGCTCCCTGGCCTGCTCTACTGATGTTGAAGATGTCCTGTAAATTAAAAGAGAATTGTATATGCTTAAATGTTCTTTTCAAAACATAATTTGCAAAACTCAGCAGGCCCAACTGGCCATCAAACTGTCCACGGTATCGCCACAAATATCTAAAAAGTCACAAGACAGCCTGATTTCTTGATAAGAGTTTTAATCCAAACCT